GACTTGGGGAACCCAATACAGAGCAGATCCAGAGATGGAGAAATGGATACAGAGTAATGGAGAAACAGAGAGTTAAAGAGATAGACAGTGTGGGAAAATGATACAAAGCCACACAAAAGAGACAGAGACACAAGAGGCAGAAAGATAAGGTGACAGATATAGAGGAGCAGGATTGGGATGCAGGTACAGAGGGGCACCAAGATGGAAAAACTCTTGTAGAGACAGAGACAAAGACAGAGACATAGGTAAAGGGTACAAAAGGGGAGAGAGAGAGAGAGAGAGAGAGAGAGAGAGAGGCTAGAGAAGCAGAGATAAGGACATACCAAGACAGAATTGGGGGGGGGGGGGAGAGAAAGGACATAGAGATAAGACAGTGATAGATCCTAGGAGCTAGCCTAAACTTATCCTCCTCTACCCTCACAGGCCTCCCCTGCCACCTCCTTTCTCAACTGCTATGCAGGAAGGTCCATCCTCTAATGTAATGTAAAACTGAGGTCCAGACAGGTCAAGAATTCCCCAAACCATTGAAAGCCGCATGCTTCTTTAGTGCTTGTCTGACATGGGAGCATTAATGGTAATTCCCACCCAGCCTTGGTGTAGTGGGCATGGAGGGAGGAAACAATCTTACATATATCCACATGTTGTACTCTGGAGTAGAGAGTGGGGGGGGCCATAAAGGGTATTAGGACTGGGCATCAACTTCCTGGAGGGCATGAGAGCCTCCCTACTCCATCTTAGAGCACACTCTTTCTCTTTGAAGTGATGGGAGGGATGGATGGGGAAGAAGTGGCAACAGGTCTGTCAGTAAAGGTGACATGCCTCCATGAGACTCAAGTGGCATCAGGGTACTGTCATTGCCACCTTAAGATCACTAAGCATGTGAAGGAGTTACTCTAAAAATAACAGTGGAGGCAGCGGGAGAAGGATGCGGAATCACGTGGAGTCCAGTATGAGGGGCAGAGCCTGGCAGTTTTTGGTTTTTTTTTTTTTTTTTAGGCAATTAGGGTTAAGTGATTTGCCCAGAGTCACACAGCTAGTAAGTGTTAGGTGTCTGAGGTCTGATTTGAACTCAGGCCCTCCTGACTTCAGGGCCAGTGCTGTATCCACTGCGCCACCTAGCTGCCCCCCTGACAGTTTTCTTGATGGCACCATGTCCCCTCTGGTCTGGGTACTATTGTGCCCTCCCTGCAGGAGCCCATCAGTGTCATTTTCTTTCCCCAGAACACTTTTTTTCCTTATTCCTGGAAGGGACCACCTCCTCCATCCTCACTCCTGCACCCCCTCTGAGAGAGATGCCCTAGGAAGAAAGGTATCCTCTCCTTCACCTTCATAGAAGCTAACTTGATGCCAGCCTGAGATGAAAGTTGAATTTTAGATGCTTCTTTTTCTTCCTCCCTCTCTCCCTCCCTTTCTCTCTCTTTCCTTCCTTCCTTTTCTTTTCTTCCTTCTTTCCTTCCCTCCCTCCCTCCTTCTTTCCTTTCTTTTTTCTTAACCTATAGGAAACAAAAGTCCACAGTTTCTTACATAGTACTTGTAACATCTATTTAAATGTGTTTTCCTATAGAGACTTTAGATATAGTTATCCTATTTTTAAGAAGTTTTGGAATTTTGAACAATGACAGTTTAACTGCCACTTCTTGAGAAGTCAGGGGTGAGGGAGTGTTTTAACTTTGATCTATGAAGAAGCAAAGAGTGTTAACTGCCATTTGTAAAGAGATTAAATTTTAACTGGTATTTGTAGAGATTGAGTTTTAACTGTCATCTCTAGAGAGACTGAGTTTAACTGTCATTTGGGAAAGACAGTGAGGGTTTGAAAGAGACTGAGAAAATGAAAGAAAGAAAATGAAGAAAACATATTTCCTGGCAGAACTGTTCTTATCTTCTGTTGTGAAGAAACAAGAAGATTTGAAAGACAGCTGAAATCACAAGAGTTGAGTGGTGGGACTGTGCTCTAGATGTGAGGAGAGATCAAAAGTAATAGTGGTGGTAAAAGATGAGTCTGGCTATGATCTTTCTTACAGCTAAAAGATTGCAAATAATTTTTTTAAATAAGTAGGCCTTTGTGTTATTGTTGTTAGTTATGTTGCTAATAAGTCATGTAGCCACTAACTTTGATATTTATTTAAACCAAGAAGATTAAGAGTTTTGATAAAAAGAGATGAGCAACTACCCATAGGGAAAAAGAGGTTTCTTCAGTTTATTAGGTGAGTAATCATTTAAAAACGTGGTCTAAGATCTCAGAACTAAGTATTTAGTTAATGAGAAAGATGTTGAAATTTTAGAAATTAATAAGGAAATGTCTAAACATAATTTAAACATAAAGTTTATCTTAGAATTCAGGATGATGAGAATGAATATGGTAATGAGTCAAATAACAGGCTGAGGGGGGACCATTCTATGTAGGTTCTGTGACTTGACACTCTTTGTCTCTTTGTATTTTGAAATGTTTGTGTTTGTTGATGATTGTTAAGTTTACAATGGATAGGATGAGATAGAGACAGAGACAGAGAGAAAGGAAGAAAAAGGGGGGTGGTGGAAAGGCCTCATATATGCAAAAATATTTATTTTAGCACTTTTAGTAATAAAGAACTGGAAGGAAGAGTGCCCATCAGCCCAGGAATGATTGAACAAATTGTGGCATATGGATGCAATGAAATGATTATATTTTGAAAACCTATGAATATGAAGAATATGGAATAACCTGAAGAGTTTTTATGAACTTAGGCAGTATGAGGTAAGCAGACCTAGAAGAACAGTGACCACAATGGTGACCACAATGACCACAGTACTATGAGGGAAAACACAATGAAAGACTTCAGAACTCTGATTACTACAGAGAACAGTCATGATTTCAGATGACTGAGGGTGAAGCACCCCTGCTGTCTCTTTTCAGAGGGTGTGGACTCTAAGTATGGAATGAGGCATACATGGTCAGGTATGGCCAATGTGTTGACTTGTATTGCTCAACTATGCTTTGTTACAGGGAAGGGTTTTATCAGGTTGGGGGGGGGGAATCATTGTAAAAATCATGGTGATTTTTTAAAAAGCATCAGTAAAGTGTTTCTTAAAGAAAAAGAAAAGAAACACACACATATTAAACAATAAAATAAAGAACCCAGCTGGTGTCCTCTCTCAAGGGAGAGTCAGCCAATAGACACAGGAAATAAGAGGTGACCTCATCCATTCCCCTGCCTCCAGGCAAGCTGCCATTAGGCAGGCTGCCACTTACCCCATCCTGGCCAGAGAAGACATACTTCTCTCCCAGCACCCAGCACAGGGCTTTGCCCATGGGTGCTTGGTTTGGACAGAGATATGAAGAGAAATTGACAAATCTGTACCTCCACATCGGCTAAAGGGCATATTACATTCCTGCTCCATAGCGTATCCTTCTTTTCCACCCCCAACCCCCCCCCCGCCGCCAAATAAGTCACTGTCTTAGAGTGGGGGTGGAATACAGTGAACAGGAGAATATTTGGGACTGCAACTAGGACCCAGCTACCCTGTCAGAATACCCTCTCCTCTGCCCTCCCCCTTCAGCACCTGCCTGTCTGTGTCAGTCAGAGGGGCCCCAGCTGAGGTTGGGGCAGAGATGGCGGCAGCGCTGGTGCTGGTCTGGACTTACCTTCTCGTAGGCAAGTGGGGATCAGCCTACCCCAGGAGACCTGGGGCTAGGGGAATGGATGGGTTAAACAATCAGCTTGAGGGGTTGGGAGTTGGTGAGGTGTAAGCAGGATGGGTTTGGGCTGAGGAATCAGGGTAGAAGGCTGCGTATGGGCCGTCAGGGGTGAAGCTTTGGGGACTGGCTGTGGGCTGTGAGGTCAGGATAGAAGAGTTGGACTTACTTAGTGGCTGTAAGGATGCGGGAGGTTGTAGAGCTGGATTGAGGGGACCTAGGAAAAGAGGATATTAGTTCCCAAACTTTGCCCCAAACTTCTATTCCATTGCCTTTAATGGGCTGGAATGGGCTCAGCTGCCCAGCCTGCTTTAGAGCCTGTAGGCCAGCCCTGGCTAAATTTGGCAGAGAGGGGAGGGGACCTGTATCAAAAGACATCCAGGAAGCTCAAGGCTATTTTTTAACCCACTCCTAGGAATCTCTGTCCCCAGGAGAACCCAGCATCCCCCCCCCCCCCCCCCCCCCCCCCCCGTCCCAAACATAACTACTGTCTGCAGCCTGGGAGGGGCTGTAGGTGAAGATAACATTCTTTCCCTGGACAGTCCGGGCACCTCCCACCCCCACCCCACCCCCCACCAGCCTCATCCTGCTTGCCTCTATCCTCTAAGCCATCAGGGTACAATGCCACTTTCCTCCACTCTGTGGTCAATTCTGTACCCACATCTTGCTCACTTCACTGGAATTCCTCTTAATAGTTCATCCCTTCCTAGCCATACCCCCCCTACCTACTCTTATCAAACATTATCCCTAGGAAAGTCATTATTGGATAGGAGCATGTGCACACCGTAAATAGTGCCAACTGCCATACCTAGGGCCTCAAGCAGGATTATGGGATGGGGACGGGGACATTTTCCCCCTAAAATGAAATCATAACAAAGAGTAACTGATTATTGCTAATCAATCATGTCATGATTGACAATTATTACACTATTCAGACTCCCTCTTCCCCCCCCCCCCCCAAGAAATTCAGGGTCAGGGAAAGAGCTGTTTTAGCACCAGCCTCCAGTATAGTCTATTCCTCAAATTCACCACAATCTTACATCATCTCTGAAGCAGGTGCCACTCTGTGGTTTCAAAATGGCAATGTCTCCCAACTCTGCTGGAACATGGGAGGGACCCATCTTAGGGCTTCTTGGGTAGAGGGTAGATATTGGGACAGTCCAGGGAGAAGTAGCTCCTTTTCCCCATCAGCTCTCTGGCTAACCTGCCCCTTCCCAACTTCAACCTGACCTCCAGGTATGATTCTACTCCTAGAGGCTGGTAAAACTATGTTGAAGGGAGGTTGAACCTCTGGGATTTGGATCTGTATACATTGGTATCCCTACAGGACTCCTGTCTAGGTTTGGAGGTATTGTGGCCCAGCAGATGCTGTACCCTCTCGTTGGCAGAGTCTTCATTCATACATTGGAGCCTGCTAGTTTTCTGGATCTGCCTGATACTGGTGAGGAGAGTTACTCCCCTACCCCCCCCCCCCCACCCAGTAGATCTCAGGAGGCCCATGGGACCTCTATGATCCGTCAGGGTAGAAGGGCTAAGGAAAGGAATACTTCTTCTCCTGAGAGCTGATTACACAAGTAACTTCTGGTGCCCATGAGGTAGGGCTGTTGGATGCCTTTTTCCCGGGGAGGTGGGAGAGCTAGGTGTTGAAGTGTCCTTGTTCCTACTTCCCCTCTTCTTCTCAGATCCCAGACCCAATACTCTTGTCACCTTCCATGCCCACCTACTGGGGCATCCAGATTTGCCTCGATGGCTCCGCTACACCCAGCGCAGCCCCAGTCAGCCTGGTTTCCTCTATGGGACCCCTACACTTGAAGACCGAGGCCAACAAGTCATTGAGGTATCAGAAAAAGCCCCATGGTGACCCCAGGCCTCTGAACCCTTATGTTTACCTGCCCCCTTCACCCTTCCACCTCTGAAAAATGAAGGGGTTGGGCTCAGATGATCGGAAGAGTATCTTCCAGCTCTGACATTCAATGGCTCCCCAGAGGTGGAAGGCATCTTGGAGCTTTATTTGCATGTTATTTACATATAATTTGCATGGCAATTAGTCAATATCCAGCTGCACAGATGTCACCCACCCCTACCCCCTCCTCCTCTCTTTTCATTACTCTCCTCCCCTTGGCAAGGCCTACTGCTCCCTCCCTTTGGACTTGGCACCCTTCATCCACTCACTTCATCCCATCCCCTCCCACAGGTCATAGCCTACAACAGAGAGAGCTTTGAGACAACCCAAAAGAGACTGGTGCTGCTGGTAGGGGAGCCTGAAGGTAACACTGGCCCCCTTCCTACACCAGATCTTCTGGTATCTCCCCTAGGAAAGAAAGAGGAGTTAGTGTGTGTATGTGGAGGGGGGAGACTGAAGGGCTCTGGTAAAGATCAGAAATGGGGAATTTGAGAAAATGTGGGATTTGTTGTTATTATTAATATGACAGTCAGGGAGTGGATTCAGGGTTTGGGAAGTTGGGAGCTGGTGTTAGGGAAGGCACTGAGGAGGGACACAGAGCATTGAAGGCGTGTGGGAATTTGGAGTACCATAGGGGATTCTGTGATGAAAAGGGACTTCAGAGGGACTTTAGGATGGCGCTAGGCTATGGGATCAGGATTTGAAGTTTGGAGAGGAGAAGATGGGAGAAGAGAGGGAAGGACTGGGGCATTGGAGCCTGGGAAGTTGGGGACTAGAATGTCAGAAAAGATAGGAGGTTTGGGGGGTTGTGTGGATCCTGCCCAAGGCACTTCCCTTGTCCTTCCACAGGCCCCTCACTTCCATACGAGGCTGAATTCCTGGTACAAAGCCATGATGTGGAAGAGGTGCTGCCTTCACCTCTTGGGCAGCGCTTTTTGACTGCCCTGGGTGGACTCTGGGTGCCTGGGGAACTACAGTTACTCAACATTACCTCTGCTCTGGACCATGGAGGTCGTGTCCCTCTTCCCATTGAAGGCCGCAAGGAGGGGTAGGCTTGGTGAGGGATCCCCATGGCATTTCCCAGTTCCCTGATCTTTTCAATGCTTAAAAACATCAAGGATGTAAGTTCTCAGTGTGGCCATTCCTCTCACTATGTCTGGAGGGGTTTTAAGTAACCACACACAACTAGTAAGTGTCAGAGATAGGAATAGAATTTAGGTCTTCCTGAACCCAGATCCAGCATTCTGTACATGACACCATGTTGTCTTTTGTACTTCCAAACTGTCCATCGATCAAATCCAGGGAAACTTCCTCTAATAGTCTCCCTATCCTAACCCCCATTTCTTTGAATGAAAGAAAGAGAGGGAGGAATAAGTTTCTAATTCTCTTAATTCAGTGGGTTTTCTCTGCTCTCCAGCCCTTTCCACACACATCCCTCATGGACTTCCATCAGTCTCATGGTCTTTTATTTTATTTTTTCCACTGGAGCATTTTATTTGTGTATATGTTTTACACCCTCAGAAAAAGAAAATTTTAATTCAATTAATAAGCATTTGTTTTCTCTTCCTCCCACCTCCTCCCTCTCCCTAAGAAAAAGGAAAGAAAAAAATTTCTTCAACAAATATTCATAAAAGAAAAAAAAAGCCCACAAATTCCCAAGTTGACCATGACCAAAAATGGATTGCATATTCTCATGGTCTTTTCCTCTCCCTCATCACTCCATACTGAGTCTACCTGCCCTCCTCAAGCCTACAGCACCTCTTGGTGGCTAGAGCTGTTCTTGCAGCTCAGGTGTGATCTTTTCTGGCCCAGGGTTTACATCCAAGTGGGTTCCGCCAGACCCTTCTCCACCTGCTTGAAGGTGGTAGGGTCCCCTGCCAGCCATGACCGCTGCACCCAGGGCCAGCCGCCACTTCTGTCCTGCTATGACAGCTTCGTACCCCACTTCAAAGTCGACTGGTGCAATGTGTCCCTGGTGAGGAATGTGGGCACCCTAACCCCTCCCCCATCTCACACACACACACACACACACAACTAGGAGTCAGAAGACAAGTTCTGCTATTTAATACAGCTCTGCTGCTTAAATACAAAAGGGAGTGGTCATTACCTTAGTCATTTAACCTGAGTCTTGGTTTCCTTATCTATAAAATGGGGGCAATTAGCCCTGCCCTGCCTGCCTTACAAGTTCAGGGGATCTGATAGTGTATGTGAAAGCACTTTGTTAACTATAACACACTAAATAGAGGAAATGGATAATAATTGATCAGTTGATTGATTATTATCCTTTTCATCTAGACTTACAAGCCACTTCCCCTCCCAATGCAGATCAGCTACTTATCTGTAACTTAAAATCTTAGTGACCTTAATATGAGTGTTATATCCTGGAGTTCTCCCTTCCTACACCAGGGGGCCTCAGCTGCCTAGTGGACAGATCGGCTGCAAGCCCTGTTGGATCATCAAACACGTAAACCTTAGAGGTTGTCTATTCACTCTCCTCATTTTATAGAGGAGGAAATGGAGATCCAGAAATGTTAAGTGACTTGTCCAAGGTCACACAGATAGAAAGGAGCCAATAAGATATTTGAACCCTAGGCCTCTGACTCCAAATCCAGGGCCTTTTCTGTTGGCAAGGTGGGTGCTGGGAGGTCAGTTCCTGGATGTGACTCCACCTCTGGTTAATGGACATTCCCCACTCTCCTCAGAGGGCCCAGGAAGGTCTTCATCAGGGTTCAGGCTGCAGAGCTCTTCAACTATGTGAGGATGTGAGAGCAACCTTTCCTTTCCTCCCCTCCCCTGGTCCCAGACTCTTCCCTAAGCTATTCCTGGGTCTCACTCATGTCAGTGCTGGTTGTTTTCTTTTTTAAACCAGGTGGATAAGTCGGTGCCTGCACTACCTGGGCCGGTGCCCACGTGGGGCGATGGCATTTTGGAGCATGACGCATACTTCTGCCCCCCAACGGAGGCACCTGACCGAGACTTTCTGACGGATGCCCTGATCACCCTCCTAGTGCCCCTGCTGGTCGCCCTGCTTCTTACCCTGATTCTGGCTTACATCATGTGTTGCCGAAGGGAGGGCGTGTGAGTTGGGGGGCAAAGCATGGCAGGTCCTCTGTTTATCTCCCTCTCCCTCTTTCCATTCCCTTCATTGGACCTGGAGTCAGGGAATCCTGGCTCCATTTCTTGCATTTGGGTGATCATGGCAGTCATTTCTCTCAGGGCCCCAAATTGATGCTTTGTTAAATGTGGGTAGGACTAGATGATCTCTAAGATGTCTTCCAGCTATGATCCTATGATTCTATGATCTAGGATCCTGTGATTCCAGCTAGAGCCAGCCTGGGCTGTGTTAGGAGCCAGGGGTAGCAGCAGCCTGAACAGAGATTTTTAGATGGGTCAGGAGGATAGAGGATAGAATTAGCTGTGCATCTCTCCTAGGTCTCTGGGGAGGACCAGGTCTTTGCTGACCATTTGGCCCTTTACTGACATCTTCCTCTGGGCCTTTTAGGTTTCATAGATAACTGAATCCTAAATAGGACTTGTAAATAAGTAATGGTTCCCACCACCACCCTATGATTCTCAGTATTGTCTCTTTTTAACAAACCCATCTTTGCTCTAACATTGTCCCTTTCTAACTTTGAGGATCTAGTGGCAGGACACAAACCTCGAGTTCCTCTTGCCCCCTTTGAGAAAATCAAGCCTAGAGTGTATGCTGCTAACCACAGATGGCTCTGGCTGGAAACAGTCTGAGAAGAGGGGCTGGCGTTCATCAATTGATGCTGTCTCTAACTCTCCTTCCTACAGGTTGAAGAGAAACCTTGCTACCTCTGAGTGAGTATGACAGAGAGAAGCGGGGTTTAGGGAGAGGATTCCTTCTCTTGGGAAAATGGGAACCATCTGAGAGGGTTGCTCATGCTGAGGGTCTGAAAACATTTTGTTCAAGCTCTGAATGACAGAGGTTAAGTTCTCTTTGCTGTTGAGGTTGGTGTCTTAAGTAGGGTGGGGGAGCCTAGCAACAGAGAAAGATTCTCTGGTTCCATCCTGTCTGGTCCATGGTGGCATACATATATCTCCTGTTCAGGAATGAAGGTGAGGGCAGCTCCCCCACCAACCAACCTCCCTTCTTCCCTGCCAGTCCCTGCCTCCCAACAGAGCCTTGATTTAGCTTAGGAGTCCTTCCAACATTTCCCATTCCCTTGCCTATGTTTTCCTTGCTCCCTTACCAACCTGAGGCTCCCACCATGCCCAGCAGACCATCCATTCCCCTCTTCCTAAGACCAATGGACTCCCGAAGAACCCTGAAGAGGCTAGTGTGAAATAACAGTTCCCTTTATTTGTGCCGTGCCTGCGGCTGGCCTGAGTACCCTCATCCCACTGGCCCGGCCTCCTTCACTATTTCCGGGAGCGGCGGGTTGGCTTGCGGGACCCCTTTTTTGGGCGCCCCTTGACCTTCTGTTGCCCCTCCTGGTGCTGCCGCTTCCTCGGGCGCTTCTGCCTCTGGCGCCGCCCTGCCTTCTTGCACTTCAGCTTCTTCTTGCCCATTCGGAAGGAGCCTGAGACCCCAGTGCCCGTCACTTGCTTCAGCACCCCCTTGGCCACCAGCCCCTTTAGCACCCGCTTGAAGCGCTGAGCATTGCGGACCATGTTGAAGCCTGTGTTGCTAACAGCCTTCTTCAGGGTAGTCAGCGAAACTCCCCTGCGTGTCTTGGAACCTGCAACGGCCCATAGGATCACCTCAGACAGGCTCGGTCTCCTGTGATTGCTTGTGCTGTCGGCTTTGTTATCCACTGATGCCCCTGTGCCATCGGGCACCTGTCCCTCTGGGGAGTTGGCAGAGACTGGGGCTACAGGTGGAGAGGGGGGCTGAGGTTCAGAGTTCCCCTCTGCTTCTTCCTCCCCAGCCTGGGCTGGGTGAGGAGAATTCAGTGTTAAGACTTCCAGGTTGGTGGGAGGGAAAGACTCTCTAAAGGGCCGATCCTGGGTAGTCGGGGGCTATAGGTAGGCTGACTGGGTGAGGCTTGTCTCTGACTCCTGGAGCCTCTTCCCTTTCAGCTCTGACTAGTGGCTTCCCCTGGTGGGAGGACGGACTGAGGTTGTGTGCCCCTCGCTCGGCCCCGCAAACTGGCAGGACTGGGGAGAGGGGCGCAAAGCAGTCTCTATGGTGATCCAAGGTAGGCATTATGACATCAGAACGCTGTCAAGGGGGTCACAGTTGGGCCATTGTTCTCTACCACGGGGGGCACAGAGAGCAGAAGGGACCTGGGTGAGGTAGGGGCAAGGACTGAATATTGGAAAAGCCAAAGTGTCCCTCCCCCGAGGGTCCTGTCTAGCAATGCATGATAGATGGGGTAGTGGCATGTTGGCAGGTGTGTGTCATGTTTGGAGGACATGTTTGTTGAGTCTCCATGACAGAATGTGTGTTTGACATGTAGCAAGTACATGTTGGTGAGTGCAGGCACACATATGTAGTTATATGGTCTATGCTTGTGCTTCTGCATGGTCGCATCTCATGCTTTGGGCATGCGCGGCTTAAATACATTTTGGAACCCAGCTTTCCCTGTGTGCATGACAAACTACACACGTCATAACATTTGTATTGACGTGGTCATGCAGAGTGATGAAGCATACATGAAGAAGCTGGGAAAGAGGGCCTCTGACTGAAGCCGTAGAAAATGAGCGCTCAGATTATTTCCCCATATCTGTGTGCTGCTGGATAATAATAACAGTAGCTAGCACTGACACATAATACATTAAGGTTTGCCAATTGCTTTACAAAGACAATCTCATTTGATTCTCACAACCACTCTGTGATTGGGTGGCAACATTATCCTCATTTCATAGATGAGGAAACTGAGGCTCAGAGAGAGCAAATAAGTTGCCCAGGGTCTCACAGCCAAGAAGTATCTGGGAGGGAAGAAGAGACTTGAACTCAGGTTTTCTTGGCTCCAGGAAACCCTAACCTTACTGCCTCATGATCCTCTCTTTCCTCTTTAATCTCTACTCTTTTTGTTTTGTTTGTTTTTTGGCTAGGCAATGGGGTTAAGTGACTTGCCCAGGGTCACACAGCTAGTAAGTGTTACGTGTCTGAGGTGGGATTTGAACTCAGGTCGTCCTGAATCTAGGGCTGCTGCTCTATCCACTGCATCACCTACCTGCCCCTTAATCTCTACTTTGGAAAGGAGGCATATTCCTTGTCGTATCTTTCCCCATCCTACCTGATTCCCCTCCCAAATTTTTCCACAGTCCCATCTCCTCCCTTCTCCCTCTTTTTTCTTTTTTAGAAATGTAAATTTGAGGTTTGCACACCCTTTCCAGATGAATTCCATACTCCAGAGGTCATTCTATCCCACCCCCACTTCAGACGGAACCTTCTTTTCCAAAGCTTATTCACAATCCAACATACCCTGTTTTAGGAAAGGAGATTCCATGCTGATCAAATCTGAGACTTTGTGTAGTCTAACCTCAATCCAATTGAATTGATTGAATTCAACAAACATTAAGTATGCCTATTGTATATACCAAGCCTTGTGCTAGGCACTGGGGGCATGGAGGGGAGTGTGTGTGGAATGATACTATGATGAAAAAACAGCTCCTGCCTCAAAGAACCTAAAATCTAATAGACTGTAATTTTTCCAGGCTCCTGGGACTGCACCTGTTTGTCACCATGAATAATCCTCTCCCCATATGTGACCTGCAGTTTTAAATGAGATGAATTTACTTTTATCGGAGGCCGAGTTTACCCTTGTATGGAATAGTAGAACCTCCCTTCAGAGCTGTAACTAGGGCAAGGTGACTGGTGCTTCATCTCAGGGCACCTAAATTTAGAGGGGACTGATGGCACTCTTCACTGGATAGAAATAACCAAGCTTAGGACCTAGTTAGCAAGAATAATTAGTTAAAACTGGAAGCTAGTAGATGCGACTTTGTACTGAACCTCCCTTGGTCAGAGGCTTGTGCTGAACACTAGGAGCAAAAACCCAGAGAAAGATGACACAGTCCCTGTCCTCAAGGAACTTCCAGTGAAATGAGGGAAACACCCTACACAGCCAGGGCAGTCTCATTCACTAAGCATTTATTACTCACTATTAATTAGGCATCATGTTAAACACTAAGCACACAAAAAAAGGCAAAAACATGAATGGTCCCTGCCCTCAAGGGGCTCACATTCTAATGGTGAGACAGCATACAACCAAGTATGTACCTACAAAATCTTAGTGGGAAGGTATAAGTTCTGGAGGACAGGAAATGAATGCAAAAGATAAGATTTGAGCTGGGTCTTAAAAAAAAAAAGTCAGGAAAGATAGGAAGCAGGAGATGAGGAGGAAGAACATTCTGGCATAGGGAACAGCCAGTTCCAGGCATGGAGTTGAGATGTGGAGTATTCTATGTGAGAGTTGCTGGATCATGGAACACATGAAATATAAAAACCAGGCTTGGAATCAGAAGACTCATCTTTCTGAGTTCAAATCCAGCCTCAGATACTTACTAGCTGTGTGACCCTGAGCAAGTCATCTAACCTTGTTTGCCTCCATTTCCTCATCTATAAAATAAGCTGGAGAAAGGAAATGGCAAACCACTACCTGTGTGACCCTGGGCAAGTCACTTAACCTTGTTTGCCTCCTTTTCCTCATCTGTAAAATGAGCTGGAGAAAGGAAATGGCAACTCTTTCCAGAATTTTTGCCAAGAAAACCCCAAGTGGGGTCACGAGTCAGACACGACTGAAATAACTGAACAACAAAAGTGACGAAAACTGGTCAAGTTGTGGAGAGCTTTTAATGCCACACAGAGAATTTTGTTTTTGATCCTGGAGGTGATAAAGGGCCGTGGGAGTTTATGAGTCCCAGGGGTGACATGGTCAGACCTGTATTTTAAGTGAATCACTTGACAGCTGAGTAGAGGATGGATTGATGCAGGGAGGCCAATTGGGAGGAAATATTGCAACAGTCCAAGGAAGAGGTGATGAGGGCCTGTAATAGAGCATTTAGTAGGATGGTTGCTATATAAGGGGATGTATACACAAGATCTGAATGTAGAAACAACAAGACTGGATAATATTGGATATGTGGAGTGAATGTGAGTTTTGGAGAATGACACCAAGGTTATGAGCTGGGTAACTAGGATGGTGGTGTCCTTGACAGAAATAGGAAAGTTAGAATGAGGAGAGGGAGACAGAGAGACAAGGGAAGACTCTTGAACAGAACCGTCAGTACCAGGGCTGGAGGGCCGGAGGGGACAGACTCAGGCGGGAGGAATCAGGCAGGTTTTTTGGAGTGTGGAGCAGGAAGGGATAAGATGGAGGACTTAAAGGAGAGGGAGCATAGGTTTGGATGGATATAGAGGTCAAGTCAGAAGCAGGGAATACTGGGAGATGGGATAAGACTGGGAGGTGGGCTAGAGAAGGGGGAAGCAGGGACAAGGTGGAAGGAGATCAAACTATGGAGTAAGGACTGAGTACTTTATGGTTACTGTGGACATACCAATTGTCATGGGATGATGAGGTGGGCACTGGGTACCATAAGTGACAGAGGTAGTTTCTCCATGCCATTTGATGTGCCTAGTTCACTGTTCTTTCCATATTACAATAACTGTGACTGAACAGTGACCCAACTAAGGTTGGAGTTTGGGGGGAGGGGTTGATATGACATACTAGGACAGAAAAGGAATCATAAGAATGGAGCTTAGTGGAAAGAGCACTGAATTTGGAATCAGGATCTCGGCTTGAATCCTAGCTCTCCCTGTCTGACCTTGGCCAAGTCATTTCCCTGGGCCTCAGTTTCCTTTCCTATAAAATGGGGGTGGCAGGTTAGATCTGGAAGGACCCTTCTCATACTTTGATTATTTATATAAAGAAGAAAATGAAAGAGTCCAAGATCATAGACGTCCAGAGGCACTGCGGGTCTGATGGAAGGCCTGCTGTTCTCCATCTCTGAGAATAGAATAGGATGTGAGAAAGGAGCTGAATCTGTAATCAGGGAGCTTGAGATTTGACTTCAAAGAATTGATTATGAGAGTTCTGAAACCAACTGTGGAGGGTGTGACTTTTCCTTCGTAGAGAGGTGCCCTCAAACCCAAGAGAGATTCTTAGCTATCTAGGTAGAGACAGGGTCATGGACAAAATGGCATTGGCAATCCTTATTCTCCGGTGATCACAGAAGCTGGCACCATGCCTAGATTTGTTCTCTCCCAGTGCCCCTTTGTCACCTGGCGCCTGACCTCCTAGGGCACTGGCAGAAGTTAGAGAAGGGGTTTGAGGTGTGAGGTTACCAAGATGTGGTATATTCTGGGTCTGCATGTGGATGTGATTTGACATGACACCCCCCCCCAGTATTCTGCCATATGCTCCACAGATAGGTTCACTGTATGTGTTTGCCCTGTCCTGCTTCCCTCATGGTTTTGTTGAGCAGATCCTTTTGCCACCAAACGTGAGCTTTGTGGCATGGGAGGGAGACAAGCGACCTCCACCATATAACTTGTATGTTCCCCTCTGTCAGACCCTCGTGGGTGCTGATTCCCCTGTTTTCTCCTGATCCCTCAACAGCATCCAGATGGTTCACCACAGCACCATTCACGGCAACACAGGGGAATTGCGGCAGATGGCAGCAAACCGATCAGTGCCTCGGCCTCTGTCCACCTTGCCCATGTTCAATGTGCGCACGGGCGAGCGGCTGCCTCCCTGCTCTGACATTGCCCAGGTGCCCCTGATCCTGGACCAGCACTGAGAACCTCTGACCTATCCCAGTGAGTCAAACTAGGGGGGAAATGGGTACACCATGGGTAGCACTAACCTCTCCTCCAAATGGTCTTAGTACAGGGTGGGGGGAGGACCTTTACCCAATGGGGTAACAGATTTCCCAAATTGCCAATAGGGAAATCCAGAGTGCTTGGCATCTGCATATAGCTGTTTTTCTATGATCCTCTCCCCCCTCAAATAGTGTATATTCTTAGAAAGACCTGCATTTGGAGACAGGGGACCAGTGTTCAAATCCTCATCCTCCCCACAAAGAAAAAAAAAAAAACAAACACTCCTTCTACAGTTTGAGGCCATCCACTCCAGGGTTTCAGAACCCTCATGAGTCAATTCTTTGAAGTAGAACTCCAGTCACCCTGACTGCAAGTCCAGTCCCTTTCTCTTGTCCTTTTGTCACTGCTTATGTGACCTTGGATATGTCATTGAATCACTGGGCTTCAGTTTCCCAATCCACAAAAACGGGGGTATTGGACTAAGGTGATCAATAAGGGTTCGTATTACTGTAAATACTATGATCCACGTTGGTGCCCCCTCCACTCCCCCCCCCACCCCAGAGAAAAGAGATAACAGGACAGAGTCCATCCTACTCCCTCTTCTAAGTTCCCTGGAGGCTCTAATGCTTTTTGGGCAATGAGCAGGGTTACCTGCTCTCCTAGACCCCATGGTCACTCTCCAAATCTTGGGCTTCCATGCCAACAAACTAAGTCTGAATGACTACTTGACTCCAATAAAGTTATAGTAGATGGAACAGATAACCTCTGGGTTCCCTTCCAATTCTAAGACATTGTGATTTTGTGACTTGGTGACTCCATGTAAGGGAAACTGGCTCTGCTCTTCCCCATTCCCTGCTCCTGGCCTCACTATTTCCTTTCTGTGTCCCTCCAGGGAATGACCACATCCCACCTGAGGAATCCAGCTGCTATTGAGATGAATCACTTACAACAAGGGGCCATGCTAGAGTATGGGCTGGAACCAGGGTGAGGGAAGTGGTGGGGGCCAAGAGTGATTAGAGAAAGAGAGAAAATAAATTTCACTCATCTGCAGGCGACTATGTGCTCCAACCTCTCTCTAGTAATCCCTTACCTCTGCCTTCTCTGATTTTTTATCTCCCTTTCTGGTACCTGGAATGGCTGGAGATTCTGATGTTTGTGATACGGGGGAATCGGGAATCTCCAAGTAATAATAGACTTCCTCATATCTGGCTCTCCTGTATCCCTTGGGTTTGACTCCTGTCCAGTTGGATCTATTCTTAGAGAGTTGCTATTCTTTTTGGTGTCATGGATTCTTTTGGCAGTCTGGTGAAGTCTATAGACTCCTCAGAATAGTGTGGAGCTTTTAAAATCCATAATTGAAGGAAAGGCTTAATTTTAGTTAGAGGTTAGTGGGGGGAAACATCTAATTTTCCCCCCTTCCAAGTTCACAAGTCCCATAAGTCTATAGACCCCAGGTTAAGAAGCTCCATCTGGAGGGAGTCAGGGATAGGGAGGAAGGGAATACTAGAAAGAGGGAGAGCCACTGTATGGTTTTGAATCTGGAATCAACCTAGAAAACAAATTGATTGTCAATCTAGTCATTCTTACAACTTCTGGATGGGAAGCCTCTTGTGGATACAGCCTTGTTCTGGGAACCAAAGATGCATTTACAATGAGGAGACACAGGATCCTGGAATCTGTAAAGTTCCATCTGATGAGGGAGGGAGACATGGTTGTCCAGGGTCCCCCAGACAAGCCTGAACTCTGAAGATATACAGTGGGGACCCATCCCTAGGCTTTGAGTTCTGGTGGTCAGAAATGTGGGAATTGAGGCAGCTAGGTGGCTCAGTGGATAGAGCACCAGCCCTGGAGTCAGGAGGACCTAAGTTCAAATCTAACCTCAGACACATAACACTTAACTGTGTGACCCTGGGCAAGTCACTTAACCCCAATTGCCTCACCAAAAAAAAAAAAAGAAAGAAAGAAAGAAAGAAAGAAAAAAGAAATGTGGGAATTAAGGAACTGGGAAGAGAGGGGAAAGTATCTTTAGGCACTGTGTCTCAAGGAAAAAGGAGTCCTACCCTGATCTACTGCATGTCACTGGAGAGATTGTTCTCTGTGAAGGATTCAGCTCTGGGCCTTAGGCAACTTCCTGGGGGCCCAGGTCCTCTGCCAGAGCCAGTCCAGACAACCTGCCTTTGGTTCCTGGGCTATTACCCTCCTACTTCTCTCTTTATTTTCTTGGCCACTGAATTCCAGCTCAAGGCACCTTTCCAGACTCCTCTGGCTCCTGGGCTGGTTTGACTCCCTCAGTTCTGGGACCTGCCTCACTGAAATCCTAATTCCCTCCTGTCTGCCTTCTGCCAAGGTGGTCAGCCCCAGCATATAGCCCCTTTTTGCCTTCTCCCACTTTCTCCACTCACTCTAGATCACAAGAGTGCATTATCTGGGGCTGACTGTAAAAAAATAATGTAAAAACTCAGATATAATAACCCCCTGCATATCATTCTCCCTAGATTTGTTGTTGTTGAGTTGTTTCAGTTGTGTCCGACTCTTTATGACCTCATTTGGGGTTTTCTTGGCAATGATACTGGAAGAGTTTACCATTTCCTTCCCCAGCTCATTTTACAAATGAGGAAACTGAGGCAAACAGGGTGAAATGACTTGCCCAAGGTCACATAGCTAGTAAGTGTCTGAGTCAAATTTGAACTCAGGAAGATGAGTGTTCCTGACTTCAGGCCTGATGCTCTGTGCGCTAGGGCGCCACCTAGCTGCCCACTCCCTAGATTAGGTGACCCTAAATTTCTTAAGGAGGAGAAGTTGGTGATGATAATAATAATAATGATTCAATATTTATAAGATGTTCTATGGTTTTCAAAACATTTTATACATTATCTCATTTGATTCTCATAGCACTATGAGATCCTAATTCCATGCTATAAGGTAAGGAAACAGAAATAGGTTAAGTGGCTTGCCCAGGGTTCGCACAGTTAGCTAAGAGGCAGGATTCAGACTCAGGTCTTCCTGACCCTAGGACCTAGGACCACTTACCCCACGTTGCCTCACAACTGCTTTGCCTAATGACAGTGCTGTAGCTTGGCTCAACCCATCCTGATTCTTTCTGGGCCAGGTATATCTAGTTGCCTCAAAGGAAAGTGGCATCTTCCCCTGGGCTCCCTGGGTCAGGCCTATTGTATCGATTCTTCCAATTCCAAACTTGCCATTAACCAGACAGTAAGCAGTTGGCTGGTGTGCCATCGCCATATTCCATCTCTAGGCTTCAGGTTTCCCTTCACGGTAAGGGGATGACGGAGGCTCCACCAAAGCTTTCAGCAGCATTTCTACCATTGTCTCCTGTTCTATGTGTCTCACCTGTCCCCTGAGCTGGGACCCTCCTGTCTTCTGGCAGTAGGGTCAAGGTTCCCCCTGCATCCCCCAAGACACTCATAATGTCCCCTTGCCTTCCCCTCCCTTGTTTCTCTTCCCGTCTCCTGGACATCTGCCAGCATCATGGCAAGCCCCCAAAATCATGGCCACATAACTTTGACATTGAATTTAAAGTTTTGAAACAGCCATCCCTTCTGCTCCTGAGTAATATCTCATTCTCTCCTCCAACCCGTAAGAGTCTTCCTAAAGGGAGAGAGAGAGGTCACCCCTTCTCTCAGCCCTGTTTCTGTGTCTTGTGTCCATTTTTAGCCAGAAAGATTTTTTTCCTGGCCTCAGTCTCTCCTGTCAAAGCCCATTTATAGAATCACAGCTCAGCACTGAACAGGACCTTAGAGGCAATCTGTTCTAAACCATCCGTTTTATAGATAAGAAAACTAAGGTCCAGGGAGATCAAATAACCTATCCAAGGTCACATAGAAGCGTTGGAGGCAAGATTTAAACCTAGGTCCAATCCAGAAAAATCTGAATCCTGAGCCATTGCTTTTTCCATTATATTAAAGAGCAATTGAGAATCCAGCTGCTCCCTTTTCTCCTCTTAACCAGAAGGTCCTAACAGCTCCTCCCTTCTCTCCCTTCCCTGAGCCCTGGTCTGCAAAAGACACAGGAGCCCTTGTCTCAATCCAGGGCAGAAGGGGCGTGGCACCAGGGAAGGCCTGGGAACAGGGAAGAGGGGCTAGAAGGGCGACAAACCAAAGTTAGAATCAGGAACTCCTCCCCTTCCCCCCCCCCCCCCAAACACACACTGGTCCTTCATGACACACACATACACGCACCCACACACAGTGCCAATTCCACACACACCCACACAGCTCCATTCCCTCATTCTCTCACAAAGCAATCCACAAGCCAGCGCTGGGCCATGCACAGATCCACGCACTCACGGGCAAAGTCACAGACAAATGGTTGAACAAAATGCACTCTCCCTCCTGCATCTCAGCCACACTCACAACTTTTTACACAGGACCATACCCTCTGTTTTATCCAATAAACAGCCTCTGGGCTGCAAACACTCCCTTGAACTTCGTGCCCTCTCCATCCCCATCTCCCATGCATAATCTGACCCCCAGCCAATACCTATTTGTCATCTATATGCATACACTACCAAAAACAATCACCACATGCAAGAACACACACACACATACATGTAATCTGCTCTAAACCAGGCACCGTCTTCCACGTATATATTTCTCAGTTACTCTCCTGATTTCTTGCACTGGGCCAATATGAAGCCCAGGTCAGACTCAGTACCCCTTCCGCACACAAAAATTCCCTCATTCCAACTCACATAAGAATGGACACATAACTTAGTCACATATGCAGAGATACATAAAGTACCCACAAAGTACGGGCTCTCATCTCTATTGCCTTCTTTGAGCCAACCCCCACATCCTCTACCCCAAATATTCCTAAGCCTTCACCACCAGTGAAGGGCCACCGGTGAATTGGGTGAACAATTAAATGTGTATATGTCATCTCAAACATGCAAATACACTCAGACATTCCTCACACACACAGATGACACTCTTACATACTCACACACAGTTAGGTACAGCATCTCACACGTAGTCACCATAAAAGGCCCCTAACACTTATGGCTACACACACTCTGACCTCATTCAGTCACATCTTGACAGTAACACACAATCCCACCAACCTGACAACCTTGTTCAACCCAACACATTCTGACACTCACAATCAGGCTCTCCTAGGCACTCCTGGTTGTGCACATTCTCTGACATTCTCACATCTACCAATTGCACATGCTCTCGGGCCACAGTCACACACACTGACACTTCCATACACAGTCACCGTCACACATACTCTGATGCCCTTTCATAGCCATTCACAATCACACTCTCACCTATAGTTGCACACTCAGTTGTACACATATTCATTCTCTCTGACACCTGTGCTTTGGTCCATTTCTCCAATCATATGAAATTCAAAAGTCACCCACAGAAAACAATCACAAACTCTTTAATATATTTGGACTCTGAAACACCATATACATGCATACATACACATATCCTTTTCATATACTCTCTCTGGTCACCATTCCCCTATATGAATTGTCTATTGTGGTAAAATGAAAGCTCCTTGAGGACAGAGACTATCCTTTTAAAAATAATGTGTTTCCTCAATACTTAGCCTGGCACATTGTAAGCACTTAATAAATGCTTTTTCATTCATTCAGTCACTCATGGTCTAAGGATCTTATTAAAGTCATCCATGCACAGACCTTCTATCTTTCATACACCTACCCTTGGTCTTACCTGTTTTCTTCCAGCACCTAACTCATATGATTAGAGATTTAGAGGTAGAAAGGATCTTAGAGATCTGTCCAACCCCCTCATTTTTCAGATTAAGTAACTGAAACATCACAATTTGTCATCATGCATACACATAGTCCCAGTGAGACGTACACCCCCTCTGTCATACCCACAGGGAGCTGCATACCTGTCTATCACACACTACCATATTCATAGGTGCCTGATAAATATTTATTCATTAACTCTCTGTCTCTCTCCTCTCCTCTCCTTCCCTCCTCCATCTCTCTGTCTCTGTCTGTCTCTCCCTGTCTCTTTCTCTGTCAATGTCTCTTCTCTCTGCCTCTCTGTCTCTCCTTCCCTTCCTCTCCTCCTCTCTCTCTCTCTCCTTCTCTCCTTCTCTTCCTTCCCTCCTCCATCTCTCTGCCTCTCTCTGTCTGTCTGTCTCTCCCTGTCTTTCTCTGTCAATGTCTCTTCTCTCTGCTTCTCTTTCCCTTCCTCTCCTCCCCCTCCTCTCTCTCTCTCTCTCTCATCTCTGTCTCTGTGTGTCTCTCTCTCCTTCCCTTCTACCCCTCCCCCATATCTCTCTTTCTCTCTGTCTCTGCTTGTCTGGCTCTCACACACACGTATCCTCTCCCATTCATCCATTTTATTCACACAGTAGTGAACATCTTCTCATACACCCTGGCATATAGGCATAGTTGAGTCTGACACATACAGTATCCACAGAACAGACAAAATCACATACATTTTCTCGTACCCCGTCACACACACAGTCTGACACAATCACACAAACTCAGGTGCCTGTTTGAGCACATACATTCATAAATGGCATACATCATAGTTACAAACACATTCAGATATTCTCATGCACACAGTCACACACAAATACACACCAATTCTTCCCTCTCCCACAGTCTAACAGAGGAAGTCACACACATAATGCTTAAATGCCACCCTTCCATCCCCCATCCCCCCAAAACAGAGCATGATGATCCCAGTCCCTTTCTCTGGGCTCGAAGAAACCACTCTGTCTCACCAAATCCTGGGGTCTGGGTGCCCCTTGGAGAGAATCTAGAGCCATGGAAAAGGCAGGATGGAGAGAAGAAAATCAATCCTATCACTGCCTTTGGAAATCCCATCAGGAGAC